TGGAGGAGAAAGAGATGATGATGATGGTGGTGGTGATGGTAGTAGTGACACCGACAATGATGGTGACATCATTTGAGTCCCTGGGCCTGGCCATTCCTAAAGTCAGCTGCCTTTCCAGTTCCATAAAAACCAACATATTTCTCTTTGGCTTGAACTAAACACCTTTTAAGTTGCATTTCTGCCACTAGGAACTCAGAGTTCTGATGGGTAGACGAGATTATGAGGTAAAAATCAAAAGAAAGACAAATTTAAATAGCCACATTTGGCCAGTAGCTGCCACATTTAATAGCACAGCTCACAGACTTCGCTACTCAAAAGTGTTCCCCGGGAAAGGCAGCATAGCACCAACTGAAACTTGTTAGACGTGCAGACTCTCCACCCCAACCCCAGACCTGTTGAATCAGGATCAGCAAGTTGACAAGATCCCCCAGGTGATTTGCATGTTCAAAGTTTAAGAAATAAACAGTAGCCATCAAATCGACTCCAAGTCATGATGACCCCCAGTAGAACTGTGCTCCATAGGGTTTTCAATGACTGGTTTTTCAGAAGTAGGTCACCAGTCCTTTCTTAAGAGGTGTCTCTGGGTGGACTGGAACCCGCAACCTTTAAGGTTAGCAGCCAAGTGCATTAACTGCACCACCCAGGGACTCCAAAGCTAAGACTCAGCTCTAAAGGCATTGAACAACTCCTCCCCTGCCTCCTCCAGCACAGTGGGGGAGTGGGTGGCAAAATCTAATAATAAATCACGGGGGTCCCCAGCCTGTTTCCAGAGTGTAGACCCCCCAAGGCCTTGGGGAGCAGGGAGGCCGAGGAGGGAACAGGATGGAGTGAGGTGATTCAACACGAGCTGAGACGTCCTTCAAGGCACCACCACCAGTGGGTGCACAGCCACTTCCAACCCCCAGCTCACGGAAATGACAGCTCTCACTGCCTGTCACAACACAGTCTGGAGAGGACCAGGAGAGGTGTCAGTTCCCTCCTACTGGCTCCTGAAAGCACCAGCTCTGAAATGCCTCGCAGCTGGACTTACATATAAGCTGCAACAGAGCTCCCATCATTGCCCCTTGGGGCATGATCAATAAAAATGAATTTAAAATACTTCTTGAGCACATCTCAAGATGTGCTGCAAGTGAGGTATCTTGTAGAGGGTGGGAGGCATGCTGCCCTTGACTCTGAGAACTTCAGATCTAAAGGGGGGACAAAACGTGTCCATCAGCAGCCCTAAAACTTTCATCCAGAACAAGCTCCCAAAGAGTCCCAGGCTGTCTCAGTCTGGATTCTTGAAGGGAAGAGATGGAATGCTCAAACTGAGTCATTGGATGAAGTTTAATAAAGAGACATTTACAAAGGTATGGGCAAGGTTTTGGAGTCCCTGGATGGTGCAAATGGTTAAGGCACTCAACTGCTAACCAAAAGGTTGGAGGTTCAAGTCCACCCAGAGGTGCCTTGGAAGAAAGACCTGGCAAT